CCCCTAGCCCGGGGAGGTGCGGGGGTTTGGCGGGCCGCGGGCCTGGCGCGGCGGTGGACGGGCCGAGCGGAGCGTCCTGCGGGAGGCCGGGGGGGGCTCGGAGGGCTGCGCTGCCGCCCAGGGTGCGCCTGGACGGGCCGCCTGTGCCTTGGAGGGAGGCCGGCAGGTTCCCCGGGCCCGCTGTCCCCGCTGTCGGTGGAACCCGTCGGCTGGCGGCAGGGACATCCCGGCACCGGGGGGTTTGGTCGGGCCGTATCGTTTCATCTCCCAGCAGAGCTGCTCGCACAGACACGGCATCCGCAGCTTCCTTGCCGTGTAATTAACAAGAGACACAATCAGGGCAAGAGTAACATAATCGTAATTATATCTGCAAAATAGGGGGGGAGGTGTTATTTTTCTGTGCAAAACCATGTCTTTCTTCAAAAAAAGCTTGTTTCCCTTCCTCCCATCTCTTTAGATTGTCTTTAAATGTCTGAAGACGTAAGTGAGCCCGGGACAGTGGAAGTTGCCCTGAGAGACTTCTTAGTGTGATTCAGGTAAGGTGACTACGTGTGGTGATGAACTTAAAACCTTGTGTTAAGGAGCAGATTTTGGTTGCCTGTTTGTTCACAATTGTGAAATTTACTGAAATTTTCCATTTATGACAAACTTCCAGTGTGAAGTAGTGATTTCTGTATTTTATGTGAGATACTGGACATGTAAAAATACTCCCGTGTGAGATGCAATCCTGTATTTAATCCCCCCCACCATTATGTTCTTGCGGAACAGGTCCCTTAGCTGGGGAAGGAGAAGCCCATGGATATTGTTAGGGAGACCCTCAGTGTCACGCGGGGCACCAGTGTAGTGCTCTCTTCTTTGGGAGGGCCTTGCTGAGCCACCCAGAACAGGCTGGAGGGCACAGGGATACTTTGGAAGCTGTTTCTGTGCTGCTTCAGGATCCCTGTCTGGTAGAGCCTGAGTGATGAGGGTTTGGTCAATGGTTGCGCGTGACTGTGCTTTAAAAACGCTTCGTGCTTTCAGTTTTCTTTTCTTCCTCTGGTTCCTAAAACAGACTTAATGGTCTGATTCTCTGTCTGGTGTGGCTGCCCAGTGACAACGCTCCTGGGCGTGGAGTGTCAGAATTCTCAGCTCCAGGTTTTAAAAGTTGAGAAGTGCTGGACTGAGGAACTGAGGTTTTTTTCCTTCTCTTCCCTGGTACGTGGCTGTGATCCTACCCTGCTAGATGGTGCCATAAAGTACACCCAAGGGAAAGGAGGGCACTCAAAAGCTTTGGGTTAAGACACTTGCTTTTTGTGTTTCCCCTTCTCCAAAGGATATTTTGGATTAACGGGAATTCAGATAAAAGGGCAAACATGCTGCTGACCTGAAGCCTCCCTTTTTAGGGAAGCTGGACAGAGGAGAATGAATGGCTGTAGACAGCACAGGGCAGATTGAATCTCTCTCACCAGAACATGTGCATTTTGTGAGGGCTGGCTGTGGCCTACGCTGCTGTCTTTTCTGAAGTTCTTTTCCCAATTAGTCACTTCATGTCATGTTTCCAGCAACATTGTTCCTTTAACCCTTACATTCTTGCTAGGCTTCCATATGTCTGGGATGCTGCTCCAGGGATGGCTTGCTTAGGTCACTGCCTTGACCATATTGTCCTATTTAAATCCTCTTTGGGTTTCTGCTGCTCGTTGTTGTCATGCCCAGGGTTCTTGTCCTTGCTTTGGAGCCGTTTGATGATGTACCCCCAATCTGCTGAGGTTCAGTGCCCAGAAGGGAGCTCCCTGCCCTGGTGTTTGGGGTGCCAGAGTGTGTTGCAATGAATGGTTTAGAAAACTAAGGAAGAAGCCATAATGCAAGAACGAGGGTTTTTGCAGTATCACAAAGGCATCATTTGTCCCTCAGTGTAATTCTGTTGCACACTGGGTACCGCAGGGTGGCATGAGGAGTGGCAACTTAGAATTCTCTGTAGCCGTGGTTGTGTGTTACCTGTGGCGTGTTGTGCGAGCTGACAGGTTTTGCAGAGGGAGAAAATCAAGTCTTGAAGTTTAAACCAAGGGCTTGGGGACTAGTTGGTGCATTAACCAGGACGCACAGCCCTTCCTCTGCCAACTTCAGAGGGTCTGGCTCCATGTGGCTGGTTCCTGGCAAGCTGTTAGAGAACCTAAATGATGTACTCGGATAAGGCACTTCTTGCAAATGATTTCCTAGACCTTCTTTTAAGAGGAAAGGTAAACAATTCTCTGAGCTCAGGTGTGGTGGTGCTGACGCTGTGGGTACTTCACCTGATGGAAAGGAGGACAATTTCCCAGCTGGTGGGAAGGGTTTCAACTCGCTCTCCTAAGGTTATCCATCACTGCTGCTTTCTCTGACTTTGTGGTTTCAGAGTCATTTTATCTAGCGATAAGGATTTGAATACATAATATTTGTATTAAGGTAATTTTTTCCCCCTCCTTGAGTACCAGGGAGAAGTCATGATTGTATTGTGTGTGTTTGGTTTAGTTCTCAAACACGTTTCTGCTGATAAACTGGAGCTAAACTTAAATAGTTTCATGGGACCTTTCCAGTCTCCTGGGCTTTCAAGGGTTACTAGAGGAATGAAAGTATTTTGACTTCCCAGCTGTGCTTAAGTAATACCGATTTATAAAAATAGTTGTACCAGTGAAACTTTTTAGGCAACCTGGAAGAAGTAGGAGATATCATAATGTGCTATCTGTTGTGGGGTTTTATTTGGTCAGTTGTATCTCTTTGAAAATGAATGGAATTATGACAGCAGGTACTGACTCATATCTCAGTTTTAACAAGATGGGGTGGGTACTGTAGTTACAAAATACATAAAATCAGGATAACGCTGCTCTGAAGTAGTTACAGACCATCTACAAGTGTGAGATCATTTTAGTCCTTATCAGCCTGGCTGCTTTCAAGGGCAGATTTTTACTTCATTGAAGAGGTGGAGGAAGGAGGAGGGTGTTTTGCCATAAAGCAAAAAGAGAGGGAGCCTAGGCCCTAGTTGAAACTTCTTTATGAACAGGAAAAGTGAGAAAGCTTAAGGGGTAAAGGCTCTTGGTTTTACAGAAGACAATGGCAAGCACGATCAATTAAAGTTTTATGTTTGGCTTATTTTGTTTTTTCTTAAAGAAAGAAAAAACTTCGTTTGTGTCCAGGGTAGGTCAGAGGTGTGAATGTTTGTGGATCACAGGTGATTAGAAAAGCTGAGAGAGCTGTGTGTGTGTTAGGGACACGTCGGTGGGTACGGGGATAGCAGACCCTGCAGAGCTGGGTGGTGAGGGCTGAATACTCTAAAAGAGATTCTTTGAATACAGTCTGCAAGGAGAGGGTGAGATGGGGGGCGGGGGGAAGTTCCCAGCTGCACTGTGATGTATTGTGTGTTAATGCTGGTAGGTGGGGTTTGTGTAACAGCTGAGCAGGCTCTGAGGAGGAACTGAAGGAGCAGTAAACATGAAGAACTCTAGGCTGGGGTGGTGGTTTGGGCCGGGTCAGTGAGCTGGCTGTGTGACTGTCACCCTGCCGGTGGCACAGCAGAGCAGGCAGCAGTGATTTGGGATAGGTGCACTATGAGGTGCTCACATCAAAGCCTTTCTTGCCCTGGGTACCCGGGGGGATGGAGCCCAGATAAAGTCTGGGGGTTTTTAATCCCTTGCAGCGGTGAGAGGCTTCACCTGGGCTGCGTGGGAGGGTTACTGCAGGGAGAGAGAGATGCTTTGGGGCCGGGCACAGTGCCATGTACAAACCACACCGGTACTCTCAGAGTTGCTTTATTTATATTACTTTTTTTTTTTTGCAGTGCTTATGGAATCTTATCTTTTTAATTATTGTGAGTTGTTCTTTTATTTATTTTTTTTTAATAGAATGATCACATCAAAGGAAATACCAAGGCAGCAGGGAGGCACTGGTGGTTTTGACAAGTAGTTTGGGTACAGCTGAATTTTTGAAGGAGGGATGTTCTGTGTTTCTGGCAGCTCTGACAAAACTAAAGTTTTCTTGTGCCTGGGACTATATATGTGTTCACTTTCCCACTGAGTGGGGCAAAAGGCAGATATACTTTTAAGTTTAGGTTAATGTAAATTCCTTGTTCTATTCTCTTAGACCCTTTTAATGCTTTTCAAAAGAAGCGATAGCTTTGTAGACTTGTGACACTGATGAAAGTGCTTTTACATTTCAAATCAATGCAGGAGATAAAATTAGCATTCTATAAAGAATTAAGCTTGGGTAAGCTTCCCCCTCCCCCAATTCACTTGTGATAGTGCAAGTAGTTGGTGTTTCCAGGTGTTTGTCGCTATCCCTTGATTAAATTTCCCATCTCAGCTGTGCCAGAGGAGCCCTTTGTGCCAACTCTTCCTGATGTGCTGAAACTTTTCACCTGGGCTGATCCCACCTGGAGGGAGGTGGGAAGGGAAGGTCTGGGTGGATTGCTGTTGACTGGTGAAGGTGATAGCAGGTGATGGAGAGCTAGAGGTGATGAGAGGCACTGAAAATGGCATTTTCTTGTGCTGCTGGGGCTGGAGGAGAGAGGTGTCTGTGCTCTAAGGCTCCCCCCAGCCCCAGGTGGGGGTCGGTTTGCGTTCTGCCGGTGTGCAGATGTACGTCCCCCCAGCCCCAGGTGGGGGTCGGTTTGCATTCTGCCAGATGTACATTCTGCTTAGTCCTCTCCTGCTCCATCTCTTAATCTGCATTAATTTTCAATTAAACTAGGAGAATTATCAGAAATGGTTAAAAAACACTTTAAAAGAAGATGTTCCCAATCTGCTTGCGTAAGTAGAAAAGGCTTAGATTGTGTCTTCCTGGGGTTTGCTCTAACTGCATTCCATGCCTCCCCCCAAAATAAACTCTAGATCACTTTCTGTTCTCTCGGAAGAGGCAGAGGAGAAGGAGAGCTTTTCTTTCAGTCACCTGTGAAGATGTCTGCCTTCTATTTACACGATTGGCAGAAAGTTAGTAAACTTCCTTCTCTGTCTATCCAGTGTGTTTAAGATCAACATATGCCCTGAACAGGTATTCTGAGGTTTTTATTATAATTTATTTCTGACCATAAGTACCTATAAGCACAATTTTGCCCTCACGCAGCAGCTGCAGTCGTCTTATCAGTGATATCAAGTATTATTACTGCTAGTAAAATGCAATATCAAGCATCTGAACCGACTCAAATATAATAATTCATAAGTTCACTTGTATTTCTGTGTTCTGTTTGGCTGGAAATGGTTATCAAATCACAAGGATCAGAACTTCCTTTGGAGTGTATCTTAAAGGTGGAAATAAAAAATAAAACAAAATTGACTTTAAAGGGAAAAAAATCTCTGATTTAGTGACTCAAAAAGCAGTGAGGAAGCCCCTGAAATTGCAGATATGGAACCCAAATGATGAGGTTTCTGTTCTCTGTGTAGAAGTCACTGTAATAGCAGTGAGGGCAGATGTTGGGAGGTGGCAGCTGGATTTAGTGCAGGAACACAAGGCTGTGCCTTACCTGAGCTGAATGACACAAGCTGTCTCCCCCTCTTTGATCCAAAGAGGAAAAGCTGTTTTTTTTAGGCCG